CCATGCACGACGCGCCAAAAGGTATTGCGAGAAATATTGCGCAGTCAGGCGTAAGTCATGTTTTCGTATCAACGTCGTTGTTTATTTACTCTCAGAGCCAATTTCACCAACGCTCCTACCGGCCGTTACGCGAAGCGCGGGAAACTTAACCGTCGGTTAGCCCAAATTTATCTTTCACCGCGCCTAACGGCTCGGTTAAAGTCCATAACCGCCCGTTAACACTAACAGGCCGACATCTGGCCGAGTAGCAGCCCGTTAAGGAGACAGAAAGAGTACTATAACCTCTATTTTATTGGAGTGTTAGGAAAGAAATGGACCCAATACTGCAGTTTGCCATAGATCGATGTTTGGAAGATGATGATGAAGATTTCGAGGCTCGTTTAAGAAGGCCTAGGTTTATTCGTGAACGCCTAGACCATTTCAGAGATCTAGATGATGTAGATTTTGTGAGGAGGTTTAGATTATCCAAGCGATGCGCATTGATAGTGTTGGAGTGTATTGACACTAGACTGGAATTTCTAAGTAACAGGTGTGTACAAGTTGATGTACTTTCTGTGTAGTGATATAGCAGGGTTTTTTGGTTAATTATTGATGATGAATTATTCCTTCTTTTCCCTAGGAACCAATCGGTTTCACCCATGAACCAGCTTCTTTTAACTCTGAGGTTCTACGCCACAGGATGTACTCAGCTCGTAGCAGCTGATTTTAGTGGAGTGAGCGAATCTACTTCTCATCGGATTATTCACCGCGTTTCTTATGAAGTTGCATCTCTCTACAGACAATTCATAAACTTCCCTAGAAATGAGAGGGAAACTCAGGACACTATGAGAGACTTCTATGGAATATCTCGGTTCCCCCGTGTTATTGGTGCAATAGACTGCACACATGTTAAAATTCGTTCACCTGGTGGGGAACATGCTGAGTACTTTCGGTGCAGGAAGGGATATATGTCCTTGAATTGCCAGGCAATATGCAATGCGAACCTGGAGTTCACAGATTTGGTTGCTCGGTGGCCTGGTAGTGCAAATGACATGACAATTTTTGACAACTGCGTTCAAAGAGCAAACTTTGATGCTGACAGATATGGTGATGGTGTTCTGGTAGCAGATTCTGGTTATTCAAACAGAAAGTATATGATGCTTCCCCTGGACAATCCAGTGACTCGTGAAGAATTGCTGTACCAACAGTCTCAAATCAGGACCAGAAATCCAGTGGAACGGATATTTGGGGTTTGGAAGAGAAGATTTCCCATCCTAGCTGTAGGTATAAATGTTCGGTTGAGGGGAGCCATGAGGATAATTGTAGCATGTGGAGTTCTGCATAATATTTTACGAACAAATGGAGACCCTACACCCCCTGATGACCCAGCTCTTCAGTTGCCTATGCCATGGGATCAATTAATTGCCTATGGACAGGCACATAATCGTAGGCCAGTAAATAATGCTCGAGCAGTTGCAGACCACCACAGGCGGGAAT